CCCAAGGCCCTAAGTGTGTGTTTGCGTGGAATGTCGTCGGTGGAAGTGTATAAGGTGCAAATAAAATTTGGGGGGGGGGCAGGTTGCCACAGGAATGCGGAAATGGGGTCCATACCTGCACTCCCTGACTTGTCCACCCCCCAAGGTCCTATGTGTATGTTTGTGTGATGATGTGAGGGAGCAGGAGGAGAGAAATATGCGGGGATGGGGAGGAACGGCTGGTTGGGCTTAGCCCTCCAGGGAGCCAGCTCCCCCACTGGCCCCAATAGGCACCTCTGTTGTCAAATTGCCACCAAGGGCATGGAGACCCCAGCCCATCCTGCCAGGGCCCAAAGCAGCAGCATTACAGAGCCCCACGGAGTCCGAGGGCACCAACCCAGCCCCACCCCAGCAGAAAATCTATGCCTATCCCTGCATTTGCACAACTTCCAGAATATATAAGACATAGGACATCCAGGTAAGGTTGGGTCCTCCCCCTCCTGGACCTTCCCCTCCCCTGTGATGGAACAGCAGAGGGGCCAAGGTCTACATGAGGCCCCTGAACCTGGGCCAAGCTAAGAATTTACCTGATTTATTACTATGTTCAAAGTTTTCTATTCGTAGTCTTTGTGCTAAAAAATGTGTCTTTTTGTCAATAATTCCATAAAGTTCTAATTTAGCTTTACGTAATTTGCTCATTAACTCTTCTTCTGTGGATGCCTCTAAAGACTTGATGATTTCCTCTAACTCCTGAATACGTTTGTTTTCTGTTTTTTTCTTATGTGATGAGAAAGAGATTATTTTACCTCTCATCACTGCCTTTCCTGCCTCCCAAAGAATAGATGCTGATGTTAAATATAAAGCCCACTCCTTTAAAAAAAAATCAATAAAACCTTCATCTTTAAGCAGTGATATATTAAACCTCCAGTTTTTGCTTGGTGGGATTGTCTTCTTATTTACCAGAGTTAATGAAACCGGAGCATGGTCGCTGACAGCTATGGGGTGTATCTCAGTGTCTGAAATGTCAGCCAACAATGAGCTGCTGACTAGAAAATAATTCAAACATGAATGAGAGTGATGGGCGTGCGAAAAAAAAGTATACTCTCTATGGTTAGGATGAAAAGATCGCCATGCATCACAAAGCCCATAATCACTCATGTACTGTTTAACTATGTTAGTGGATTGCCAATTGCGCTGAGTCCCAGCTGTACTGAGCCTGTCTGTTAAGGAATTCATCCAAAAATTAAAATCACCTCCAAGTATAACTGGACAGTCCAAGTGTTCGGAGAGTACAGAGAAAAAAATTATGAAAGAATGGAGGGTCATCAATATTTGGACAGTATATGCTGATGATACATAAGCGTTGGTTCTGTACAGATATTTTTAACATTATAAATCTACCCTCTGGATCAGAGACTGTGTCCAATACTGCGAAACTGATGTTTTTGTGTATTAAAATAGCTACATCTCTTTGCCTAGAGTTATAGCAGGCAGAGAACATGCTGGGAAACTCAGGTGTTTTAAGTTCATCTGCAGATGTGGCAGATCTATGAGTCTCTTGTAATAATATTACGTCTGCTTGCACTCTCTTTAGCTGATCAAAAATTTTTAATCTCGTCTCTCTAGAGCCAGGCCCATGTACGTTCTATGAGACAAACCTTAGTGCACCCATAGATGTGTGTGTGTGAGCAGGGACGAAATTTTGATTTCAGAAGTGGGGGGGACACAGCAGGCTTGTGCGGATTTGGGGTGGGGGGTGTTATGTAAAGACCCCTTGACACGTCACGTGCCCATCTCAATAATTTTTCCATCCTTATATATATATATATATATATATATATATATATATATATATATATATATATCAAAGTTAAAAAATGTACAACTCTATTATTATTTTTATTTATTATCATTACTGAAGTGCAGTTTTGGCTGTTGACAATGGATAGGCCATTGTATTTATTGTTTTTGGTGCAACATTTTCTAACAGGGAGTGAGATTCCTTTTTTATTCAATTTTTGTTTGTTATTTTTATTCATTTAGAAGTTCTGGTTCTGGACATTTCAATGTTAAATGAAGGTTTATTTGATGCATTTTAAAGGGTGTACTTGCATTATTATGATATATTAACATTATATTAGTGTTTATTTTGGTCTAGATAATGTTGACAATATCGTTTATCATCAACAATTTGTTGGACAAAATATCGTCCAGAAAAATGTGTTACATTCCCAGGCCTAGTCAAAAGTATAAAAATTATTTATAAACGGTCCTCCTGAGATCTGGCCGTTTGTTCATTTGCTGTGTTAGAGGACATGCTGAACTAATGTTTTACACATGATCATCACCCTAACATTTGAGTGTATAAAAACATATTAAATATGTTTTTCCCCTTAAAAGTGTTTAAACAGTTGTTGCATTTCAACACACAAAAAATAAATGGAAAAAATAAGATAAATCTAATGAAAAGTGTTCATCTTTGACATTAAGCTTAAAAAAATCTGTTGACGATGATGATACTGTTCATTTTTCAGAGCTTTTTAATGTGAAAATATACATTGCAATAGATAAGTTTACAATAAAGTTAAATGATAAAAGTTTTGAAGTTACACTTCTACTACTACTAGTAATAATAATTATGATGATAATAGTAATAATAATAAAACAATAATTATAATAATACGAATAAATTGTGTCTGAGGAGTCAGTTATGTGGAGGAGATGAGTTTGTAAAAGTTAGTTTTGAGTATGTGTGTGAAGGAGGAGGTGAGTCTGAGCTTAATGCAGGGGTGTCACATGTTCCAACTTACGTTTTGACTTTGAAAGAAGTCTCTTATATCCACTTTTCGTTTTCTTGACATGCTGCCTCCTGGCTGTGCCTAACTACCAAAGACTCACAAATGAACACTTATTCAAATGTTATGTAATGGAAGCTGAGCTGAGCTCTGATATTACACAGCGTCTAGTTGACGGTGACTCAGTACCGGTGTTCCCTAGCGGCTCCAAACTAGCAAAACAACGTGAGCACGTTCTGACTGTTTCCAACTTGAGTGACAGCAGCAACAGCCAATAATACGTTAGCAAGTATCAGCAGAGCCAATAGATTAGCTTTTGGGCGGGTCTAATAGTAAACCGGTTTCCGTTTCGGTCCTAGTGCTCAACCAAATCCATTTAATGGAGCGTAACATTGTTTTTGGACGGAAAAAAGTGCAGGGGACCAAAACTGCCTTTTGAAAAAGTGGGGGGGGGACATGTCCCACCCGTCCCCCCCCAAAATTACGTCCCAGTGTGTGAGTAGCTATAACATGACACCTTCATGTGTATGAGATAAGATAAGTAATTAAACACATACATTAATCTTATAGTAAATAATAATAATAATAATAATAATAAGGGTATTGTTATAATCATTATTATCATTTGCAACATTAAATATAATAATAATAGTAGTAAAAAAACAATAATAAAAAAAATTCTCCCACAACATTAATATAAAAATATTAATGCTGATAATGATAAAGTAAAAATAAATAATAAAAACAACAACAACAACAACAACAACAATAATAATAATAATAATAATAATAATATAACAAGACAAGCCCAACAGTGTTTTGATTGTGCAATGAAACGCGACTGACAAGAAACATCCAGCCACGGGTCTGCTCCAGCCCTCCATCCACGTCTGGATCCTCCTGCAGCAGATCCAGCTGCACTGATAAAGACTTCCGGCTCACTCAGTTTAAAAAAATGATCCAGGAAGAGTCACTCAGGTTAATCCTGCTTTAACCGTACATAACTGGTCCATATATGTTTTGATCTGTAAATAAGTGTAACGTATTATAAACAATCTTGTCTCCTTACCATATTTTCATTTTCTGTTCATGTAACATGTTCAAAAACATCTGTAATACTAAAACTGGTGATAAAATCAATGACCAGAAAGAGTTATCCGTATTTGCTTTAATAAATGTGTACAAATATCAAACAGCTAAATAACATTAACATGATGACAGTAGAATGCCTCTCTCCCAGGAGGACCACCAGGTAAAGCCTCTCCTGACCCTGGACACCTGCAGTCCTACAGAGAAAATCAGATCGCAGGTGACAAAAAGGCAATAAACACATTTTTACATTTATCCACATGAGATGATAAAAATTATATTCTTCACACAAACAATTTTTACTTCATTAAAACGTCTCAGCTGTGCAAATCCCTGAATGTAAAACTACTTTTCACAGCAGAACACAGAAGAACTTCTGTGGTTGTGTGTGTAAACAGCTTCACTCTTCACCTCTAAGCTTAATAAAAACGCTTCTTTGCTCTGTTGTCCTTAAAACAAATGACAAGTTTAATTTGACACACACACACGCACGCACGCACGCACGCACGCACGCACACACACACACACACACACACACACACACAAGAATAACTGGGACCCGTGATACAGACACTTTCTGGCTGATTTCTGCCTGAAATGGAATTTAAAAAACAAATATACAAACGAAAAATTTCTATAAACTGAAACGCTTAAAGCTTTTTAGGTTTCTACGGCTAGTTTTTAACAAACTTACATTTAAAACTTCGTAGCTCTCCCCATTTTCTCTTCCTGTTGAAAATCCACAGCCGGCGCTCAAAGCATGCTGGGATAGCCTTGTTCTGTGAGGAGACAACAGACCCATCCTCGAAATGTGGGCGGAGCGAGGACGCATTTGAGGAAGCGAGAATGAGTATTCTTGGAATTCGGACAGTACTCGTTGCTGCGCGGGGACGTCATCGACCTCAAAATGTACTCTTCCGTGGATTCGGGCACACCCTTAGACCCGCTCCCATTTAGAACACATTTTTATGAATATATTTTATGAATCTGCCAATATTTATACATTATTATCTTTTAATTCATTAATAACAACATTTCGATAGCTATTTCCACAGATTAATGGTAAAAACTACACATTGTCACTTTTAAATTAAATATATGTTTAGGGACTATGCTTAATGAAGGGACAATAAAATATTTACGTATGAAATTTGTTTTTAATTTTGAATAAAGCTTTTTAAAGATTAGACGATTACAATTGGAAAACCACACATTTTTTCAATTGATTTGAACATTTTACAGTCAAATGCACTTTTAATTGTGTAAAACAAACAAACTGTTGAAGAACTTTATAGAACAGGACACTTTCAAAAGGGGTCAAAATAACAGAAAACCTCTTTTCCTGATAAATGTGCATCCATTTCCTTACGAATACAAATGTTTTTTCAACTTTAATGGAATCTAGGTATAGACATTTTTTATTATCAAATACTTTAGAAAAATAAAGCAAAATAAAACACAAAGCCAGGATTTTAAAGGGGTAATTTGTTATTTTAACTGGAGTTGTGTGGAGTATTTATGAGTTGTTGGTACAGTAGATGGAAAAGTAATTTTATTTACAAGAAAATCTAATTGGCAAGTCAAGCTAACAGCACGTCGTCAAGCCTAGAAATCCAGACAAAGCATAGCAGCAGCAAAAGATTTTGTGAAGGTCAATTGTAGCCTCCGCTGGTCTACCATTGGATAAAAAAATGAATATTTTAACCAATCACAGCACTCTTTGGGTGGACTTGGCACCAGGGCTGTGGTGGAGAAAAATGTCTTCAGCTCAGAAACAACGCTAGTTTGAAACAGCTGTAGCATCTACTTTGAACGATTTATATTTGGGCTTTTCTTTGAGACATGAGCAGATAGAGGTACTTGGGCCATGTATTTCCAAAAATGATATATTTACTTCTTCAGTGGTGTCTGGCAGACTGCTCTGTTGACTGATTTTGATAGCGATGGAAATATCACGTTGTTCGTTGCTCTTATTGGTCCTTGTGCTGTCCAAATGTGTTGAGACAGTTTAAAAGACAACCAAAGATTCTGCCCCACGAGTGAGCTCTTTCTATTGGTCGTGGCCATCCTATATGTTTACATGTATGAGATGGCTTGCTAGGCCAAGGGTCATGAGTCATAGAACCAAAACAACCATCCAATCAACCTAACAAGCACGCTTTCCATCTGGGAAGAAATAGCATTCATACACATGGAGAACATACAAACTCCACTAGCCAAGTTGCTGAACCTGACAGGTCCACTATGTTTATTTTGTAGGGAGTTTTTGCAACTCTCCCCCAAAATGGGAGGCATTCTTTACACAGAAGCTGATTCAGAGCTTGAACTCTGAGGCTACTGTGATGCTTTTCAAAAGAATAAAAATAAAAACAGAATATGAAAAGATTAAATACAGTAGCTTTAAAACTAAAAAAATGCATGATCGTTTCTACACTTGGATAAAAAAAGTATTTTGCAATCACAGATCAACAAAGGTGCAATTTTTTTAAATGTTGCTGCAGGACAGTAACCATACCTTTGAGAGTGACTTAAACCTTGGCTAAGATCTACCACACCGCACAAGACCCAAGGTGTAGGCTATGCAAAGAGGCCCCTGAGACAATCCACCACATAACTGTGGTAAGATGCTGGCAAGGAAAGCATGCATGGAACGCCATAACCAAGTGACTGGCATCATGTAGAAACATCTGTGCATAGTATGGACTGGAAGCCCTAAGATCAAAGTGGGTAACACCCCCTATGGTGGTAGAGAACAAAAGAGCCAAGCTCCTGTGGGACTTCCAGATCCATACTGACAAAATGATGATAGAGAACCAACCGGACATTGTGGTGGTGGGCAAACAACAGAGAACAGCTGTTGTGGTTGATGTGGCGATACCAAGTGATGCAACATCAGGAAAAAGGAACACAAAACACCAGAGAAGTACCAGGGTCTCAAAGAAGAATGTGAGAAATCCTGGAGAGCGAAGACATCGGTGGTGCTCGTGGTCATCGGGGCACTCGGAGCAGTAGCCCCCAGACTGGAGTAGTGGCTGAAGCAGATCGCAGGAACAACATCTCAGTCCAGAAAAGTGCAGATCTAGGAACAGCTAAGATACAGCAAAACCCTCAAGCTCGCAGGCCTCAAGTAGAAGACCCGAGCTTGGAAGGATGAGACCACCCGCAGAGGGTGAGATGGGAATTTTTTTTACTTTATATGAATAAAATGCACAGTGTGAGAATATTTGCAAAACTATGAGTTTTAGCTCTGTAGGCCGGTTAGAGGTGTGTGTTCATAAACGAAAGGTGCGATACATTTGCTAGCCTGTAGTGGGGCCATCGGATAAACATAAAACCCTCTTGACTGTAGCTCTACCTCTACAGTCCCTTATCAGAGCTGAGCTGCATGTAAAATAGTAGTGGTTTCACAGTAGAACAGTTCTGCATCATGTCTGAAAGAAAAACATACAACTGATATCTAATAATGCTGTGCTGAATGTGCAACCCTAAAAATAAAACTAACCACAAATGAGCCAATTTTCATCATGGCGAATAGTAACCTAGCACAGGATAGGTGTGTTAGGCATCTGTTGTCATGTAACAGACTTGGTAGTCCAGTGGTTAGAGCGCCAGGTTGGACGCCTTAACCACTGAACTACCATAGCCAACACAGCGACTCACTCGCCTAAGACGCTGTTGTGGGCACGTTGTGAATGCCCTTGTTGCCCAGCAAAAGCCCCAAAACATGAATGGTGATAAAAGACCTTAACGTGTATAGCGCCTTTCAGAGTCAGAAGACTCCAAAGCGCTTTACCCTACACTGCATTGTTCATCCATTCACACATCGATGGCAATGTGCTACTTTGTAGCCACAGCTGCTCTGGGGCACACTGACAGAGGCAATTCTAGAGATGATCTGCATGGAAGAATGGGCCAAAATATCAGATGCTGTGTGTGCTCTGTAGTCACTGATTATCGTGCATCAAATCACCAGCAAAGAGCTTTAATGTCACCGGTCTGCACCTGTCATCTGCTCCAGATAAAACTCTTCCTTCAATGCAGACGTCTCTCCACAGCCTACTCCACACAACCCCGATTCAAAGTAAACCATCCTTTACAAGTCTGCCTTTATAAAATTACGATGGATATTTTAAAATAAATGTTGGCTTTTCTACTAGTTTTGTTAGTTTTACTTTGATTTTCAAACGTTCAGCTTCTATTTGAACACAAGCTCCGGTGCACCAGGTAGTGCATTTTTCTGCACTTCAGTTACTGCATTTGCAGCACAAACATGGAATGGATACAAATAAATAAACAAATATGTAAACAACAAGACATTACTGTATCTTAGGCCCCACAACGTGTCATCTTTTGGGATTTAACACCAACATGAAAATTCTTCTAAAGCAGAGCCATTAAATCCTGATCGGTTAGAGGCACTACCTGATTTCTATTTTTTTCCTGCACCATCACACCTGGTTTGAATTGGTGGGTGATTAAACAGCTTCTGAAGAGCTGAAATGTAATACAATAATTGAATGAGATGTGTTGGAGCAGAGGGGCCACTAAAACAGGCAGACCAGAATTTAAAAGCTCTGCTTTAAAGCAGCACAATCAATAAAAGATCTGATCATTAAACATTAGTCAGTTGTGTTTTCAGTCCTGGAGAACAAAAAACAAGTGGAGGAGCTCCTGCTCTCCCAAATGCTGCTGCTGCTGAATGTTAGCTGATGTTTGTGAAACCAGTTTAAGGTGTCTGTTGTCAAAATCCTGCTGTCTCTCCACATGAGGCTGACACAGATGAGTCTGTCTCCACTGCTGCCTTTCTTTTTTGTTTAAAACTCGGCTGTTTTATGTCTGTACATATAACTCATCTGTTAATGATATGTTCTGGCAGTTTCCTGCTGTTTTAGTGTCTTCCAGTGGTTTGGACAGCATGTCAAGTCAGTCCGATCTCTGCGTTTTTCAGAGGTTTTTCTGTGTTAACGTGTGTTTCCGTGGCCCCCTGCTGCTTGATGGCCTTCCTCCTTCTGTCTGTCCACAGCTCTTTGTCTTCTCCTTCACTCTCTTCCTCTGCAGCCTCCAAAACACACAGGAAGGAAAAGTTCAACAAAAATACAAAAAAGGTTTCATCAGATAAAGAATCTGAAAAAAATCCAAAACTTAACTGCAGCTCGCTTTTTATTTTACATCTTTGTTATCCAAACAGAGGGCCACAATCATGCTTTGCAGTCTCTTTTAGATAGTCTTGTTGAGGTTAGGCAATGGATGTTCTCTAACTTTCCTCTTTTTAATGATAAAAGGACAGAGGTTGTAGTTTTTGGTCCAAGCATTTTGTCTAGGGTGGGTGCAGTGGACCTCGGTCAGCTCGCCCCATTCTTGAAACTGAGTGTGACTTCCCTGGGTGTTGTAAATCAGTGGTTCCCAACCTTTTCCCAAGGGACCCCGTTTTTTACCAGTAAAACTTTTGACGGCCCCCTCCCATTCTCTCTTCCAGTACAAACAGTGTTAAGAAATGATAAAATTGTTCAAGCACATTTTAATATGCTTTGATTCAATAGATAACAGTAATAGTAGGCTCCAGTACAGAACAAAGTCATAAACAAAACCAAACAGAGCATAATGTGCTTGACAGTTTGTATTTATTTTCTGAACACATTGTTTCTTGTAAACACTGATAAATCAATCATTCCTTTCAATAAACGTTTGACACATAAAAATACACTGAGCAAAATGTACTTAAATGTGTATATTACTGTTAATACTAGATTATTTACTGTAAACGCTGTGATTAATCAACCAGTCCTATCTTTAATGACCTTTTGACACTTGAAAATAAAACAGTGAGCTGAGCAAAATGTTCTTAAAAGTGTGTTACTTTTTCTGAACTAATTATTTCCTGTCTTAATATCAGTAAACTTTTCACTCATGAAAAAAAATTTGACCAACATGTGGGCTATAAACAAGTAATAAATGAAGTTTTAACCCCTTAAAGTGGAGAGGTCCTGGCGACCCACTGAGAGGCTTTGGCGCCCCCTTGTGGGGGTCGGGACCCCCAGGTTAGGAACCACTGTTGTAAATGATAAATGACTTGCACTTGTATAGCGCCTCTCAGAGTAAGGACTCCAAAGCGCTTTAGACTACGCTCAACGCTGTTTTGCGCCTGCAATAGATATCCAATCGTTTGGTAAATTTGGGCCTGAGTGAACTGAGTTGGAATCGCTTATGCTGAAGCTTTGCTGCTTCCTGTGCAGTAACTGCACATTTCTCGCTTTGTCCCAGGTAAGATACCACCCAGGCCGTGAGCTTATTCCCCAAATCCAAAACAAATTTGACCTTTACGGTCAAACAAAGATCAAACAACTTATAAAACGGCCATGTTTCTCAACCTAAAGGATGAGTGAGGTATGCTTACGATCTGCTTCTCCCACTGATAAGCGAAAGCTGAACTGTCTGAAACAATAAATCAGTGTTTTCACAGTGGAACTGAAAAGACCAGCATCAAATCAGAACCAGACTTCTCACCTTCTCCAGCTTAAGCTTGAACGTTTTCCAGATAAACGTTTGTTTACGTAGGCATGAAGGGGATTATGTATACGAGTGTGTGAGCACGTATGGCGGTGTGTGTTATTATTGTAGTGTTTTATCCACAGGCTGCACAAATTGCAAATTTCCTCCCGTATTATAACGAGATCAACATTGTTCAGATTTTCACATGATTTTTATGTTCATTTATGACTGACTGAGTCATTCAGAGCTTTCAACGATGTTTCCACAGGTAACTTCTGCTATGAGGTTAAGACTAAAGTAGCCACAATGTCCTCCACATCCAGGTTAGCTGATCGCCACTTAAGCACAGCTTCAATCCCCAACCTGCCTAGTAAATCTGTTCCTGTAGGAGTGAGTCTGGTTCTCACTGATTTTTATCGCCAATAAAAGCTTCAGATGACAAAGAAAGAAAAACAAATGAGTTTTATAGATTGGAAGAAGTCCACACTGATTTCTGTTTAATTTGCTCCTTTAAAACATTAAAGAGATGAAGAGTGGTGGAGCTGTCTGGATCAATCCTAACAACAGAGACCTGCTCATAAAAGAAGTTTTATGTCTCACATGTGATCATCTGGCCCAAGGCCATTTTAAACTTGGCCTGACTCTTGCTGCCTAGCATCAGTTCTCATTTTGCCATTTTAGGAGGACCGATAACACAACAGGACTTATAAACTGGCCGGGAGACGGAGAAGTTGTGTTTCATGACTTTTTTGGACACTGAGATGGACAAAAAGCTGAAAGGGGTGCAGCTGGAACACTAGAGTTTCTTAAAAAAAAACCTAGGTTTTAGTCAACAGATTTTTGTTTTTACTTTTACAAAAAATTTAATAGAGTATTATTCTCTAACAAATACATTTATAGGTCAGACATGTAATCTGAGCTACTGGAGTGAGTTTCATTCCAACATCAACTGCTGATGCATTTCTAAGCAGACACCCCCTCCTGGCCCTCTGTAACTTAATAGTTAACATTATTTAAGGGATAGTTTTTTTATTAATGCTTAAAGGGACATTTTGGAGTTTTGAATTTTTATGCTCGCGATTGCCCCCTCAGGCCAAAAGCATAACGGCAGCTTCAATAGGAGGCTAGTGCATGAGGCGTGCATGCTGTACGTGCACACTCCTTAACAAAAATAACAGCTGAGACATTCCCTTGTGTGTGTGTGTGTGTGTGTGTGTGTGTGTGTGTGTGTGTGTGTGTGTGTGTGTGTGGCCCGGAGGACAGAGGACAGGAGAACGCGCAGCTAATTAATTAAATAATTTGGTTCTGTACCTTTCTCTTCAGCACAGCCGACAAAGGTTTATGATGGGTCAGTCCTCCTGCATGCTCAGATCATTCCCTTCCCTTGCTTGAAAAATTGTTCCAAAATTGAAAAGTTGAAACCCACATCTTTTTTATCTGTGAATTCAATGTCGTTCGGCGAGTCTCAAATAAAAATTTGGGCATCTTACTGTAAAAAAAATATATACCATTAATGTAAAAAAGAAACTCTGAATAAACTATGTTCACATCCAGAATCAAACCCAGGTCTTCTGCAGGAGAGTCCAACGTCTTACTAAGTGAGCTAAAGCACCAGTGATGTCCTTTGTATCTGTAACATTTGTATCCTTGATGACAGCTGAAACAACGTTCAAAGAACGGTTCGGAGCTATTTTGTTGCTAATTTGCAGGAAATATCTAGAAGAAAGTTCTACAGAAAGTAGCTAAGGGTCCTCAGAAATGTAGCTAGCTTTGTCACTAGGCGTTAGGAACAGCGTCAAAGTGGCACTGCCTCTCTCTCTGCTGCTAAAGCTACTGATAGCAAATGCTACGGGCTATGCCTGAGCGTGAACCCGCATGAAGCAGCCTGCTCGACCCGAGCAGCTCTCTTTTTCTGTGATTTTACAGAAAAACAGGCAATCACAGTAAAAATGCCAGGGCTCATTCTACAGGACCAGGACATTGCAGGAGAATGTATGAAGAAGAAATTTATTATTTCTATACATGTTTTGGCTGTCAAACTTCCATAATGCCCCTTTAATAATGCCTGAAGTAACCTTAATAAAGAGGCCCTTTTTGTAAAGTAGGGGTTGTACGAAATAGTCGACTAGTCGACTTCACGGCTCTGTAGTGACTTTTTATGCCTGTCATCAACTAGTCGCTGTCACGTGATAATGACTGACAAGATGCAGTCCTCGGAAAAGACAGCAGGTGACGAGCCCCTGCACGTCTGGATCGAGGCGGAGGCGACGCGCTGTGCGGTACTGACACCGGCGGTAAAACAGACATTTAACCAAACTGTGACCTTTTCCCTCTTGCAATTTAACCTTCCCCTCACCCCCATCCTAATCTTAACCAGTTTGCGCATGCAAAGCTCTGATCACTGACGTGCGCTCCAGACATTGCGTCCTGAGCACCGCCAAATCAGGTGTCACCACCTCAAAAACAAATTAAACACGCGATCGTTCATGTCGGCTCATTTCCTTTCATGTTTTCTGTCTGTTATTTGTGCCTGATGCATTTCGCTGCTGCGGAGCGAGGCGCATCACCTGTTGTCCTCCGGTGACGCACCCCCAAGATTCCACTATCTCCGCTCCGCTCCGGCATAAACTCCGCAGCAAAAACGGTCCCGTTGTAGTCGGCCGGCAAGCAGCGGCACTCCGCTGTTTTTGCGGTCGGTAGATCTTTTAGAACTGCAGTTCAAAGGTAACTCATAAGGTGAATATATTTGAACCCAGGTAGCAGTTTCTCTTTAGGATTGAGAGGAGATGCAGGAAGATAATAAACAGAAAGGACAGAAAAATAGTCAAATAAAAACAAGTTAGTTTTTGTACCTGGTGGTTGCAACAAACAGACACCACTGAAGGTAATCAGAAGTGAGGAACAGAAAATGAAATAATTATTTTAATGTTTAGAGCAGCAGGAAAGGCTGCAGGCGCATCAGTGAGTTTGCGGCTGCTGCGCAGGGGGAGGGGGGAGAGGACTGAAGTAGGAAGCAGAAACTACCATTGTTAAAAGAGATGCGTTAACTTAGAAAATGTGGGCGCAATTTAAATTGTCAAAAACTCCAGCGAACCTACCGAACCCCCCCCCCCCCCCCCCCCCCGCCGCTTCCGGCGTATGACGTAATCAACGACTAGTCGAAGTCAACTCGACTTTCATTACTTGACTGTCGACTTTTAAAAAAATAAAGTCGTGCAGGCCCTATTGTAAAGTGTTACCAAATCTCAAATTTGATAAAAGGCTGCAGCTGCTGCCATGAAATAAATAAATTTAGATATAAAATTACAAAATGTGAATGATTTTAGCAGTTTTATTCATGGCATTTTCAGTACATTCTAGAATGAGTCATTTCAGGACTCTTTCAATTAAAAAAGCAAGCTGGAGCTGGTCATGACCCCCCCCCACCCCCCACACACACACACTCACACACACACACACACAAACTGCCCACTCAGGCTGCTATAAGCTGAGAAGCTCCTAGCTCTGGGAGGAGCTGGAGTACAGCTGCAGCTCCTCTACCACTTTCCCCCGTTTGTGATGTCACAAACTAGGAATTTTTACAAACAGATGTTTTATAGGCACATAAAACTAAAACTAAACACTGACAGAGGTATGTGTTATTTTTCCTCATTTGGGGTGTTTATAGAGGCAGTAGACTTATGACAGCAAAGAATGCAAATTCTGAGTTTTGCAAAATAGGTCCCTTTTATGATCATGAACCAGAAAATTATTTATATTTAAATGATCAAAAGCTATTTTTGTTCTACATTTCTGCTTCTGCAGCAGACTGACACTAATTAGACCTGTTAGATTAGTTTTTTAACTTGGCTTAGGCACATTCCTAGCTCAAAATGGCTTGTGATTTCAGATTTTTGAGCCACGAACAAAAATTTTGTTTTATCTGGATTAAAAAGTAAAAATGTTTCAGAAACGATAGTGAGGAGGGATTCAGACTGGTTAAAGAGGGTCCTGTGTCTCTTTGCAGAGGAAATCTGTCTTCCCTGTAACTGAAACTAAAAACCCCTGCAAGCATTTTAAGACGTTTTAGAAACTAAGACGTGCATGTTGTTTACGTTTTCACAGCAAACAGCTGCAGCTAAGTGAGACGCTGGCTCTGGACCATCTGGTAGTCAACCGTGTGAGGGCACGAGCAACGTTTCAGTAGCTAGAGCTCGGCCTCGGGACAGAAACATCAGAGCAGCAGCCAAGACTGGGAAACTGCAAAGCAACTTTAGAGTTCACTGTTTTTATCATCACAGCATTTTTTACAGACTAATCCTTTTACATTTCAAAATATTCTTCTGGTTTCAGGAGCTTTTCTGTAAAAGCATTTTAAAAGAACATTTTCATCTGTTCAGAACAACAGAAAGACACATTTCTCTGCTAGTTCTGCTTGATTGTTTTTAAATATTCAGCAATTTATTAATTTTTTTTTTGGTGCAAGACGGGTTTTACACAGACTCACCTCTCATGCATGAACAGAATCCATATCTGGCGAAAGACGACTGCTCTCCTGAACAAAACAACACAGCAAGAAAAACAGAATCAACAAAATGTTTTCCCTTGATTTCAACCCTTAATCTCCGGTAAAATTTATTAATCTGGGATTAGTTTTTTTTACTAATTTTTCCCACTGGCGGTAAACACACACCATGTGGTTGTGAGCATCATCATGTCTGTGTTCTCCCTCCTCCTCTTCCTCCTCTTCCACTTCACTATTCGGTCTCTGCTCCTCTTCATCCTCCAGCTCAGAACCGGACTCCTCCCCTTCCTGCCACGCCTCCTCACTCTGACACTCTTCCGCTTTGATCAAATCTGCACAAACACACACAGACACACATTCAAATGTGATCAGAATGCTTCACACCAACAATTATGGCAAATGTTTTTACAGGAGTTTGTGGCATTATGTGACATTAATACATTCACAAATGGATGCAGCAACAATAGGGTTTTAACAGATTATATTTTTCTGATATGACAAAAACCTAATTTATTTACAATTAAATAAGAAACATATTTGATTATTTGAAATTTGTAACTATTTTTAAACCAGTTTGTTGCTAAACAATTAAACCAAACTATTATTTTATGCTAAGATATCTAAAAGAAAAAAGTTGTAATTAATAATTAGCTAACATATGTAAGTAAGTAAGTAAGTAAGTAAAAGTTTATTTATAGAGCGCCTTTCACAGATATAAATCACAAAGCGCTGTACAACATGATAAAGATTAGGGCAAATACCTCTAACCAATAAAAACATCCAAAAAACAATAGCAGTGATAAAGTAGAAAATTAAATCATGAGTATAAACAAAGTGAAGGTGTGAACCCGAACAAAGCCATCATTTTGAAACATTTAGAGAGGGAACGCCTGGATGAAAAGGTGAGTTTTTAGATGATTTTTAAAGACCTCTACAGTGTTAGAAAGACGGAGATTTGAAGGTAGACTGTTCCAAAGTCTGGGTGCAATAGTCTGAAAGGCCCTGTCCCCTTTGGTTTTCAGTCTGGTTCGAGGAACAGCCAGGAGGTTTTCAGATGTGGATCTAAGGTTCTGAGAGGTGATGTGTGGGGATAAAAGCTCAGATAGGTAGCTTGGAGCCTGGTTGTTAAGAGCTCTATAGGTCAGGACTAAAACTTTAAACTGAATTCTATATTCTACCGGGAGCCAGTGGAGGGACTGTAAAACTGGGGTGATGTGAGCTCGTCTGCTGGATTTGGTTAGGAGTCTGGCTGCTGCATTTTGGATGGCTTGAAGGCGTGAGACGGAGGTTTTGCTGAGACCAGTAAAAAGAGCGTTACAGTAGTCTAAGCGTGATGACACAAAGGCATGAATGATTTTTTCCAGATCCAGATATGTTAGCATATGCTAGTAATTCAGTCTAAAGCAGGTAATTGACCTCATAATGGTATTAACCAAAAACTCACCTTTTATGTTCTGATTAACAGACAAATAAATAAATAAATAAATAAATAAAAAATCTGCTCTAAGTAAATATTTCCTTCTTTTTTGGACTCAGGCCCATTCCCAATCCTTGCACTTTCACACTTGCACCCCTCAATGACACCTTGTTCCCGTCCAGTGGTGCAAGGGTGCAGAGTTTCTCAATTCTCAAGTATGGGTCTTGGCCCCGCCCCAATGTGGACTTGAAAGAAGTGCAAATCAAGGGCGCAAAAGGGGCATGGTCACCTCCTGTAATTGAAAATTGGTACAACCTATGCACTCGCAACCCTGGCCAGGAACACACAGGGTGTTTCTCAATGTCAAGGCGCCTGGCCTTGCGAGGCAATGTCTTGCGACCACACATTCTCACACCCAAGGCGTCAAAATATGACGCGTGTGACCAAGTGTCAATATATGACTATTCGGGATACCCCAGCACGTCAGGAGATGACGATCAGGGACACGCTGGTTCACGTGGCTCTGCCGGCGTCACTGTTTGACGCGTGCGGTCACACGGACATTATTCGACTATTTAACCTTCCCCTCACCCCAATCCTAACCTTAAGGTCCATAAACCGTGACCTTAAGGTTAGGATTGGGGTGAGGGGAAGGTTAAGTAGTTCACAAGTAGTTCTAATGTCCGTCTCAACACTGGCGTCAGATACCGACGCTCTGGGACGCTGCATCAGCTGTTTGTCCCTGAACGTCGTCTCCTGACGCGCTGGGGCGTCCCAAATCGCCATATATTGACGCTTGGTCACACGTGTCATATTTTGACGCCTTGGGTGTGAGAATGTGTTGCTTGCGGGGCCAGGCGCCTTACTTACGAGGACACTGTCCTTCCTTGGTCAAAGAAAACGGTTAAATGGATCAGACTTGCGCCACGTGACCGCGGCTTCCACAGCGGTAACGTATCGTCATGTGACATGGGAGATAACGTTATATTTTATGTGTATTAGTTTCAATATAAATATATAATGAGCCTTTTATTTTTTAAATTGTGTATATGTTCATTAAATTAAAAATATAAGCGAGCTACTACTCGCTAGCCACCGAAGCTGCAACTACTAAGCAACTAACCAACAATAGATAACTTCTTTGGATTAAAAAAAACATTTTAAATTAGCTGACTTACTTTTAAACTTGAAACTTGTCCCCGAAGTAGCTGCCAGCTTCTGATCCGCCGTCTTTTTGAAAATGCCTCGACCAAGGCTAGGCTACAAGACACCTCCTGTGTATCCTTGCTCAGCTAGCAAAATGGCTAACAAAACTGATTTACACACGCCTCGGTAGAACGTGAACATTGGATCGTGCCTTGAAAGCTCCCAATGACATATCTCCTAGGCAATCGGGGTGGGGCCAAGACATCAAGGCAAGGTTCCTTGGCACTAAGGACAGCCTCAGTTTAAGGGAGCTACAGGGTGGAAGCGCAAGTATTGGGAGTGGGCCAAAGTGATCAGGCTCATTTAAAACGGTCAGTGCGGTAACAGTTCTGCTGTCAGTATTTCTATTAAGTAAAATGTGACATTTCCATGATCTTTCTGCTTTCGCATCATGGAGGCTTTCAGTTTTTTCATGATTTTATGTCGCTCAGCTGTCACATCAGGATTTATCAGAATAAAACCTTAATTTTAATAATCCAAATCTAAAATAACTTTTGTCTCATTATCTAAATCTAAAATGTGTCTTCAATCATTTATTCAGCTAGTTGTAAATAGATTCTCTATTATGGGGGAAAAATCTGAAAACTGCAACCTTTAAATAACATGACATGAACATTTTTATTTTTTGGCATGTTAGAAAATTATTCATTTTACTCCCTCAACCCCTTGTTCAACATGGACGTAACACAGAAAACTCTTTGGTTACAGTAATCACATGTAACACGTAAAATAGTGAAGTTAGGTATAAAACATGCTACAGTTGGTCCTGTGGTCTCGTAACTAATGACACGCACACACACACACACACACACACACACACACACACACACACACACACACACACACACACACACACACACACACACACACATACCCACCCGCACGCACGCACGCACGCACGCACGCACGCACACACACACACACACACACACACACAATACAGTTTCCATTTACGGTTCAGACTCCCCCAAGAAACAAGTATCTGGTGCCACCTGTCAGGAACAACAATCATTGCTTTGTGCAGCAAATGTCTGATATAATGTTATAAAGAAGGTTAATGCCAATAAAACCCAATTAAAATCTTGTTTCAATAGAAAATAATTTTGTAAATAATCATACTTAGATCATTGTTTTTAAATTTCTATCATTTCTTCTTCTTATAAGTTTTTAGTTCGTTTTTCTATTTTTTACATTTATCTTGTGACTTAAAGGTGGAATATGGCACACCAAAGCGACATCTAGTGTGTGGAGGTTGTAGTTGCAACAATAGAAAAAGGTTTCCGTCTGTCGCAAAACCAGGTTCACTGCCGGTACATGAAGTGACCCGCACCATGTCGCCATTTTCCACTGTGCTAGCCTCGCTGTGCCGAGCAGACTTTTTAATGCAACAGTGCCCTCTACTGGCTAGTTGATGTAAACATAAATCCAGTGTTGTGTCCGTCAAAAATAATCATAGATTATTTAAAATTAAAACATAGCTTTTAAAGTAAAGTTGTAAAGCTTTTTACTGTACCTTCATTCAGCACACCGCTAAACACCCCACAAAGGTATTTTTAATAGAATATATACCTTTTTATCAAATGAATTCATATTCAACCTTTAAATTATTATAATTTTTTTTGCAAAAAATTATGTTTTACCGCCTGAACCCCGGGCTGCTTTTCAACAGATCTGACTGAAAATGACTCAGGAACAACAAGGCTCAATTTAACTGTTTTGGTGCCATATTACATGTAAGATCAGGGAAATCTTCAGAGGTCTGAAAGCTGCCCTTTACCCTGATGCGTGTCAGTAATGATGAGTGAGGAACGTGTTTCCTTTGTCATCTATTCTCTTTACCCGTGGTGGCAATGTGAGGCTCTTCTGTGATCTGGTCCAGTCGGCCTAGCAGAGCCTCGATGTTGGTTTTGATCTGAGTCAACTCTGACTTGATGGCCTGCAGCTCCGTGCCTTTTCCTGCAGCTGAAGAGGAGATGAGAGAAAAAAATGTTCACAATAATCAGAGTACCACAGCAATAAACATACATTTTTCATTCATTTTGGTTTTTATTGGTTATTCTTGAATTAAAAAAAACCAAATAACTCTGGCTCTTTCAGTTTTATTCAGATTTGGCAGTTATCAATAATAATTATTATAATTATAATTATTATATAACTGCTTTGCAGAGTGTAATAAGGGGCAAAAGGTGAATAAAAAAATCATGCAGATTGGATGCTATTTTGGTGTTTTCTTTTTTTCTTTTTTAAGATTATTGAAGACACAATGTTGTGCTCTATTCCCACCCCACCGTTCAATTGAAAACCATTTGAAATGCAGCTTGAATGAGAAGATCAAAAACCAAACAAAGTGTGAGACGGGCTAACCGCTCCATGATCCCCGGTGAATGAAATTCATCACGACTCAGCAGGAAGATGAAAAGAAAACAAACAACAAAACAATACCCACTATGGATGAAAAGGTCAAAGTCAGACGTGGAACGATTGACGGGGCGCTGACATATTTCTTCACATCCAAGAACGTGAACACAGTTTGATCTGAATGTTTAATGAGCAAAAATATAGAAATAGAGTGACAACAGAGGCCCTGATGTCTGAACCCTTCGCTGACGTGTAAGCACACAACGTAGAAGACAGATGAAGGAGGTCGGGAAGCTTAGAGAGAGAAAAGAGGAAACAAGACAAATAGGACTTTGGTTCACCTAAGAAAAAACAAAGTTACTATTACATATATTATTAGGATCAATGTAAATTGTTAGAATATTATATGTCTAATTACGCTCAAATCAGAACGTACAGAAGAAGCTCATGTCAGCCATGGGATCTACGACCCTTCTGGTGAAGATCCAGGTCTAATGGACACAAGTGAAGGTTGGAATGTACATGGACAGCTTCTCACTTTTGGCTGAGCTTTCTCCTACCACAACAGACTGAAACTCACTCCCCGCCCTGAAACTTAACCTCAGGCTCGGATGAGCTGCATTTCATCCAGACTGCTGCGTACTCAGCTGTGAATTGCTCGGAAGTGTGACTGCCTGGTAAGATCCACCGATAGTTGGTACACACTCCGTCATCCCCCTTTTTAAACCCCGGTTCTACCTGTCCACCTGCGTTATCGATATTCAGAGCCAACTGTATTATTTCTAACATAAAGAAGAGAGAAGAAGTTTGAAAAGGAAAGAACTTGCATCTCTTTTTGGTGCCGTTGGTGGCTGGGAGGATGGAGGCATTGCATGCTTTGACTGGCAGAGGTTTGACCCGCCGGACCAGGGGAACCGCCACTCGTGGGCGTTTGACTGGAACCACTCGAGGCACTGGAGACACTCTGCTACGAAACTCAAACAACCTAATCAGAGTTCAGGGAGGGGTGAGGAGTACGGAAGGAAAAGGAATCAAAGTTTGTTTAGACAGAAAACAGAAGGAAGTAAGATCAGAGACATACGGAAGGCTAAAAAGAATAAAATGAGAATAAAATGATCATTTTATCTTTTAAAGGTGACATTAAAATTGCACATTACTATTGGGAATTGTATTAATTTGAATTGAGTGCTTTAAAACACATCTATTATAATTATTATTATAGCTAAATAGTAAAAATCAGACTGAACAACGTCAAATGTTATTACTGCTTCTAGCTTACCTGTCATAGAAGTCTTCTCTGTAGTAATCGTAGTCAAACTCGTATCCACTAGGAAAAACAACCACAACAAAACTAAGTTAAAGTCATCACACACTGGTGAAATTCCTCTCCACATCTGACCCATCCCCGTGGGGAGGAGTGAGCTGCAGCAGTGGCTGTGGTTGGGAACTATTTGGTGGTTTAACCCACCAATCCAACCCCTTAAAGCTGAGTGTCAAGCAGGGAGACGCTGGGTCCCATTTTAAAGTCTTTGGTACGACCCAATCAGGATTTGAACCTCGATCTTGTAATGATTCCATCTTGTTCTGCCATGCCTGTCATGTTTGTTTTTTCCTTTCTGCCAGTCCTCTTGTTAATCAGCTTCACCCAGTTCCCCTGAGCCCTGCCTGATGGTCTCCTGCTTCACCTGTGCGCTCCTCCTTTAAGCAAAGCTCAGGCTCTGTCTCCTTGCCAGATTATCGACAGTCTTGTGCCAGTAGAGACTCCAGCGGTAGTTTCAACCAAGCCTTTTGACTTTTGACCACGTTTTCTGTCCACGGATTCTGCCTGCCGTGCCCCTCACGGATTCTCTCGCCCGTCTGTCATCTGGACCCCGGCCTTGCCTCTGAACTTGACTACTGATCCCTGCTCAACCCCTGATAAGTATTGCTGACTTCTGCCTGCTTGTGTATGACCTTGCCTGTACCTCACTCTGACATAGGATTTTTTGATACTTGAACTTCTGTGGGCTGTACTAATTGTCTGTCGTTTTGAGGAGATGAGTTGAATCCACAGACCGAAGAGGAGCTCCCATAGCTGGCACCGAGACAGTCCCGCCCCCTCTCCCTGTTTTCCTATCAGCAGAATGGTCTGCAATTCCCTGATTCTCCCACATTTAAAATAAAAAAACCTTTAACGTTTTACTGCTGTGTTCTGGCTGAATTTGCGGGTCTTCAGGTTATACCCATTACAGATCTCCCAGTCCCAGGGCGGATGCTCTACCACTAGGCCACAAATAAACAAACCTGTTACAGTATAATAGTTTTTCCCTCTGGTTTGGTTACTTTCCAACATTACAAACTAGGTGAGAAGGTTTGAGTCTGTCGCTTGGTCAGACAGTCTGAGGGCGGGGCTAACAGAAGTTTGAAGGTTGAGTGTTCATCTCTTCAACTAGATGAAAACACCATCTAGCTAGCAGCGACTGATGTTTGTGTGCCCTCCTCCATGTTAGAATGCAACACAAACCCGGCTTTACTACTGTATGTGCTACGGTAGCTAGTGAGAACAAATATACGACACAAAACCTGTCAAAAGACATTAAAATCTCTGAAAATGTGCAGAATATTGAACATTAACTGGTATTTTTTAAAATACTGAGCTCAGTGGACCCATCAGAACCACACACCTGTAAAGGGACGCAGCTGATCTCTTCAGGCCTTTGGGTCTGTTTGGTTTTGGTTCTCCTGCCATGTTGACATCTGAAAAAAGGGCAAAATATAACGTTAAAAAGTGATATTTCACTATAAATTAAACCTTTAAGCTTCCAAATGAACACTAACATACATACAAATTAGTCTTTAAGACACCTAAATGAGAAACACACAGTTATCTGAGCCACCTGATGTAGAGTCTGGTCAAATCCACTAGAGGATGCTGTTGAGCCATTTTAAAAGCTGTGAGCGTTCACATTAAACAGCCTTTTAAAATGCATCTGTTGCTTGAACTCTAAGAACCGTTTACCAGATAAATGACCTGATTTTGGATAAATGTCAAAGATTATTACTAGAAAAATGATGAAGGGGTAGAAATGTTTAATCGGAAATTTAAAACTTCTTTAAATCCTAAATTATTTCAAAAACAAAACCTTGTTTTCAGCAGGAAGGTCTTGGGTTCAACTCCCTGCTGGGTTATATCTGCACTCTCTTTGTACAGGTTTTAACTGGCTTCCAATTTTCTTCCCATGAAATGTGCATGCTGGCTTACTTTGTTACTCTAAATCATCCCTTGATATGACAACTGTGTTTTTAGCTGTTTAACTTGAATATTAAAAGTTTTACTTTTTAACATCACAGTGAAAGAGTGTGTGACCCAGAACTCTGATTAAAAGGAGAGGTGCAAAGTTTGCGTGGTGACAAACACCCAAACACACGTCTCATCGAACAGAAACTTATCAATCCCTCTCTTTACGACCCAAGGGTAGAAAGTGCAAACACACACAGTCCACCTGCTGCTCCATCTGCCTCATTGACTTTAGCTGCAGGGTGGTGCTATTCACAGAGGGAGAATCAGACTACGGCGCAGAAACTCGAAATCACACTTGATCAAATCCTCCGATGCCTCATTCAGCGATGAGTTGGTTCATTCTGCCAAAAACCATCCAATCATCTTCTGATGGAGAAACGTGAGAAATTCTAAAGACTTTATGAATCAATTCTTCACTCATCTGATGTTGTTTTCTTCAAACCATCAGCAGTCACCGCTGCCTTTGTGTTTTTCACTTCAAACAAAATGTCATAATGCTCTGAAGTTTATTTTATGGTTTTCATAATTATTTATAGTTCTTGACAGTCGCTACTGCAAACTGCTATTGAAGTTTCACACCCAAAACTATAACACTGATTTAGCTCTTAGATATATAAAGATAGTGAAGCTGCTGAGTTTCCTGTGATGAAGACATGGATTTTCATTTGTGTCTGATGCTTCTTCCTGAAACTAGTGGTGTAGATTCATGGCAGAGACTCAGAGGAGAACTTTACTAGCAAACAAACTGAGATTTAACTAAGAAAAGGGCAGAAATCCAGGCAGCAAAGCTGTGATGGAAAGCAAATGGATCCAAAAATAACAGCTGTGAGCCAAACGGTTTTTTATTGTCTCTAATTTTGTAGCCTCCGTGTTTTGAAGAGTGATCAGATGACTTAATAGAAAATTCATTTTGGCCATGAAAAGAGGTGTTTCAAGACAAAATTTAAATCAACAGTCCTTGCAGGCCACAAACCTGGAATTAAATTTTATTTAAAATATGCAAGAGTGACTTTATGATTTTTTTCCCTGTGTGAAAGCAGCTTTAAAGTCAGTAGTAAAAATTAGAACATACAAATATTAAACAGTATCTCTCTACAAAAACAACCTGTTGGAGAGACCAAATTCATAATTTTAGCTAAGCAACTGCTGGCAGCCCAAAATCACTGTGGGCCAGAAATGGTCCCTGGGCTGCACTTCAGACACGCCTGCTTTCCATGAAGCCCAACTTCGAGGCTAATTTCATGACAAATCAGGTTTCACCCACAGTACAAGCTTCCTGGTTAATCTGGTGATTTACTGGTGATTTATTTAGTATTGGAAACTCTGTTATTAAAGTTTTCTTGTATTCAAGTCAGTAGTTTTTTTTGCATAGTTTTACATGTGTGTTATACTGTTTTTCAATGTGCTAAAATATATTTTAACAAATAAACAATGTCACTTTTTTCACCAAGTAAGTGAATCGTGGTATCTTGTTTATTTACAATCCTTACCGAGTCCCCCCTGGATGAGCGAGCTTCTCACCCTATCTCTGAGGGAGAGCCCAGCGACCCTGCGGAGAAAACTCTTATCGTCCGTTTGTATCCGCAATCTCGTTCTTTCAGTCGCTACCCAAAACTCGTGGCCGTAGATGAGGGTTGGATGATAGTAGATTGACTAGCAAATAGAGCTTCGTCTTACAAGTCAGCTCTCTCTTTATGATGACAGAAATTTCCCCAATTGAGGCAGGACCTCGTCACTGACACAAAGAAAGCATTCTACCTTTTTCCAACCCATGACCATGGTCTCAGATTTGGATGTGCTGACCATCATTCCGTTCATTTCACACTTGGTTGCAAACCCCTCCAGCAAAAGTTGGAGATCATGGTCTAATGAAGCCAACAGGACCACATCATCTGCAAAAGGAGATACCTGATAGCCTGGCAAGTTATCCTATAAGTGTGAAAGTATAGTCTGGACACGACTCATTGATGAATCTCAGTCATGGGGTGGGATCTATGGTTGTCTCGGCATGCAATTGGACAGCAAACGACATGACATACCCAGCACGACGAATGTCTGTCAACGGGGCAGTCTGCCATCCATCGTCAAAGAAGACGCACAATACATCAATTTTGTAAATAAATTCAAGTACCACATCTGCTTTTGACTAAAAGAAAAGCTCAAGTTTAAATAGTCCAAATTTGATGCCAGAGCTGTTTTAAACAAGCCGCCACCTTAGGTTCGCTCAGTCGCAATAACATCCCGCCCACAAAACCGGTAGAGCACTGTGATTGGCACACCACCAGTTCCAGTGGAGCGTGGCTAGACCAAAATGTAGAGCTACATTATTTTGCTTCTGCTAGTGTGTCTAGATTTTTAGGCTAGAGACCTGATCCTCAGGATACCCTCAACACTAGGGCTGCACGATATTAGGAAAACCTGCGATATGCTATAACAGTGATTAATATTGGGCTGCATGGTGGTGCAGTGGTTAGCACTGTTGCCTTGCAGCACGAAGGTCGTAGGTTCGAAACTCGGCTGCGGCCTTTCTGCGTGGAGTTGAGTGTTCTCCCAATGCATGCGTGGGTTTCCTCCGGGTACTCCGGTTTCCCCCACAGATCACAACATGCCCTATAGGTTATAAATTGTAAGTCCCTTTGGATAAAAGCATCTGCCAAGTAAATAAAAATAAATAAACATAATATTGCGATGACGATATTACTTGCGATAAAATTAAAACTTAACTCAAAAAATGACCAAAAAATCATCAAAATGAAATAAGTAAAATATGTGAGGAAAGGGAAAAATAAAATGAACAAGAAAAGGCAACCAGTGGATCCTGGGAAAAGCAGAATCAGCAGAAAGAGCAGAACAAAGCTAACTCAGGTGTTTGCTAACCATCAAAATTAAGTGCCATCCGCCTTGGAGGCGGGCATCTAACCTATGAGAACCCATTCAATTGGCCAAATGGGTGAAGAACTCTATTTGATTTGTTAAAAAAAAATCATGCTTCCGTTTGATTGACAGAATGCATTATGTGTAGCAAACATGCAGAGGTGGAAAGTAACGAATTACATTTACTCAAGTTACTGTAATTGAGTAGCAATGTGCACGTCCTATTCTCACTGACAGAAATCCCTCCATCAAACTGTGTGTGTGTGCGTGCGCGTACACACACACGAGCGTGTTGTGAACTAGTGTGGTGGTTTTGCTCTGATGTAACCATCTTTACGCCCACAAAAATGTAACTAAGTAACTTTTACTTTGAGTACATTTTATTTACGATACTTTTTACTTTTACTTAAGTAAAAATTTAGGCAAGTACTTTTACTTGTACTTGAGTAAAAAATTATCAAAGTACTGGTACTCGTACTTGAGTAGGAAATTTGTGTAATCTTTCCACCTCTGCAAACATGTGAGCTGACCATTTATCACAATATTTATCTGTTCTTTGCGATATGCATATTGCACATGCTAATATCACAATAACGATATATTTGCGATATATTGTACATTCCTACTCAACACATTGGCTTTGTCTAGAAATCTTGTCCACAAAAGTTACGAACAGAAAGGTTGACAAAGGGCAGCCTTGGAGGAGTCCAGCTCTCACTGGAAACGAGCCCAACTTGGGCCACAATAGGAACCAAGCTCTGGCTGGGACCTAACAGCCCATATCAAGGGTCCTGGTACCCCATACTCCCAGAGTAACCCCCCACAAGGCTCTTCGAGGTACAAAACCCTTCTACTTGTCCATAAAACACATGTCTCCACCATCCAGGACCCTGCAAAATGTGTATAGAAACCTGTTCTAGTGTTCTGCAGCCACAAAGAAAACCACATTGCTCCTTCTGAATCCAAGGTTTGACAATCCGGTGGCCCTTCCTCTCCAGAACCCTCGAATAGACCTTATGAGGGAGGCTCCGGAGAGTGATCCCCCTGTAGTTAGGACACACCCTGAATGATAATTTATTTTGTTAATGTGCAACACAAAAGCTGTTTTGATGTCAGGCACAACTTTCTCCCAGCAGCCATTCGTTTTATGATGAGATCAGAATTCACATCTAATATTGCTTCTAGCTGCAGGTTCCTTCCAGAGAAAAAGGTGAGTTCACAAGACTATCAAGCAGACGTTTTTGATTCGTCGTGTCCGCCGAGCTCAGCTGTGTTATCTTCATAGACCCATAATGAAAAGGACAGAAAAATCCATTACAATTGGCCTCTCACATCCAGTGCATCAGCTTTCAGTTCCTGGAAGCTGGTTCTACCACCAGTGTGTGAATGTGTGTGTGAATGGATGGCTGATACACTGTAGTGTAAAGCGCTTTATGAAACTCTTTGTGCAATCATGTTTTATGTTCATGCTGTCACCACGTTACTCAAAGCTTTTGTAATTTCAATAAAGGAATAACACATTGGCCACCCTAGAACATTTTCAGGGGGCAGTGAAATTTTTGGGGTAGTACACCATCTTGGT